CACTCATATATATCTATCTTATATATACGCATATATAAAGCAAGAAAACATAGAGTAGCGAACAAGCTCGTTTGCGATGATTCTTCTACAGGCTAATACATCACAATTCATGACAAACTATATAGTCATATGGAGAAATTATAACGAGTTGGAACTCAGAGAATCATATATATATATATATATGTAAATATATATATATGTAAATATAGATATATATATATATATTGCATACTGGGAAAAGAGGCCTTTACTCAATTGTATAATGTTAATTGTAGCGTTTAGATCCAAACTAGGATTCCTTATCAGACATGAATGAAATGCATGAGCAAATTAGTTTACCGTCTTTCTGTGCACCTTTGCGCTGTTTGTATGTCTATAAGTCCCGCAGTCATCACGAGTTTTGCGAGTATGACGTATTATTTGTGTAACTCGACCTGTCGGTTGAACGAATTCATCGAATGTAGAGCTCCGAGAATTAACACCCCCAAGTCTTTTTTTATCAAACAACGCAATCAAATTTTTCGCTATCGATCGCAACCGCGTAACCTATCTACGCGCAGTGGTTCCAGATTTGTGACCTCAGGTCAGCACGCCGGAGGGCATGCTTGTGTCTGTGTGGGCGAGCGTGGTTTGTGGGTTACCTTGATTTCCAACGGTCAGTGGGTTTAGTGGCTTCTGACGTGTCGCGTATGTACGGTAGCGTTATGCTAAACATCTGTTTTCATGTGCAGATTATTTTTTTCCCACGCGTTGGGATAACTCCTTGGATATGCAATAGATCCGATTAGTTGTCATAGTCCACTGATTTCTTTTTCCCATAGTTCAGATGTGCTCTAATCTGTGGGAGCTTCATTACTTTCCCGGTCTCACAGGGGGTGGTTGCTAGCCAACGGTGTGAGGGATTTTTAGTGACGTTTAGCGATTTTGTTTTCCAGCTCCTTAGCCCTCTATGTGACTTCGTTCTTAAAACCACAAAGTTGATCAGATTAGCTTTTTAAACTTCATCACACAATTATTAATTATAAAAAGACAATGTTTTTTTCTGGAAAACGCCGATAGCTTTGCGTCGCAAGCCCAACCCATCGGATGGAGATTCGTGTCCATCGGATTTAGACCCCAATGTCTCCAAAGTACTTGACACAACATTTCATTCCATGAGTTTAACACAGATAGAATGGCAGGTTATTCAATGAGGTTGACATCGGGTAGCACATGCCGAGATCGAACGAGAAAGATAGGGAGCACGGACGGAAAACGCATCGATGAACGCCAGTTTGGACTGCGAGCGATGCATAACAAATGCCAGCACGGCTGCACAAACATCACAAGGGGTGCAAAAAAGACCCCGTATGAAGTGGGGGTTGGAGCCTAAATCACTTCATCATATCCACTTTCATCAATCGACACCCTTTCACCCCCGCTGAAAACAGAACTCACTGAAACCGAAGAATCCTTCTACCGGAAAGATAGAAATGGGCGCCAACGCGCTTCGCTAGTCAAGACGCTTGAATCCACCAGGGATAGGCTTGCGTGTATGTCTGTGTATGGAACAATGCATGGGACATGAAGCTGCTGGGTTAGTTTTCTGCTATTATTGTCCTAAGCAACGGACTACAATTAAAATATCCAACAATAACGAGTGGAAGCTGTGTACAAAGCAGAACATTTCCCAACGAAATTGGCAGGTTCCAAGCATAACTGGAGCACCTCTAGCTGGCCGAACGTCTAAAAGGACGGGGCTTGTGATTCCCTATGTGTCCCGACAAAAATGCCGAGTACAAGGAATGGCTTCAATGGATTTATACAAAAGTCAACAAAAGTCAGTGACTGTTGAAGATTATTTTATTTTATGGATCACAGAACAAAATTAAACATGACATTGGTTAAATTCAGTTTTTAAAATAAAATATTCTGAAAATCTTTTAGATAGGATAGTGTTACAGAAATGATGTCAAAAAATGTGTAATACCAGTTGTTGAAAACAAGCTTCCGTGTCACTTGTTCTTCTTTCCATGTTTCTACACAAAACACATATGGTGCACTGCCTTTTCCAACGAAATCCATTATTCGGTTAACTTATCATCGCGTGGTACTCAACGTTACCTGCTTAACCTCGAGCTAACTGAAAAAACTGAGTTGTCAGTGGAATTTCTTGTTGATCTCATGGCGTTATCCAGTTTAAAACACATTCTCTTGTTGGATCCCAACCGTGTGCATTTGTTCTGCGAAATGTGACTACGTACAGAGTCTCCTGAGTCGCAACAGAAAAGATACGGTTTTGGTTTAATAAAATTATTAGAAACCCACCACTTCGGAAGTTAGCCAAATATTATCCTACAAAATGCGCGTGTTTTCCGTGAATTAATGTAATCTATAGTGATTCACCTTAGCTAACGGCAGTACCACGATCGACGATCGGGAAAGAAAAAGGAATGGAACTACGCTATCACTTCCGACAAATTTAACACAAATTGTGTAGATAAAACGAAGATATCCTTGTGTTCATCCTTATCTAATAGACGCTCGCAAGGGTCCAAGGGCTTTTCGTATGCAAATCAGCTAGGAGAATCAAGGAAAGCGTATATGTGCAAGCATATCTGTCTCTGCGTTTATCTCGTCCTCTCTTCCAATCTCCGGTCTTTCTAGTTCCCCCACCGCTTTCCTCTAACACACACACACACACACACGCATGGTAGCCCACAAACGATTTATCCAGTTCAATAGTGCAGAACCCGGGAGGAAATAGAAACGCTCTCGAAAGACCATACATCATAATTAACTTAGACGCTAACCCAGGCATTGTATATATCTATCATTGCTCTGAGAATATACATGTGCTTCTCAAGAATGATGCCATCCGATCCGAATCGATCATTAAACATCCGGCCATTTTGCTTGTGAGTAAAATTTGGGTTCGCTGTTTGCTTCGCGTGGAATTTTAGCTATCCAAAACCATAAGAAGGATGGGGGAACAAAGCAATTCAAGATAAATTTCAACAGGCTTAGCAATGAGATCATGCGCGAGCTCAAATTTCACACAGATATGTTCCTACGATCTATAAAGCCACGCCCAAAAATTCGAACCCTTATTCGGCAGTTCACATCAGTCCGCAAAAGAGAAGCTGCATATTCAGCTCCGATGCGTCGATCCAAATTTCCCAAATTCGATTACGGATATAGACTGTAACAAATTTGTACATTCAGTTAACTTACGTTTCGATTGGTTGGTAATCAAATATATCTCATGTAATACAACTGAGCGACCTCAGTATTTCGCCTATCAATGAGGAATGATAGTTTACCATGTAATGTTTCTCGGAATAGAATTATGGAACTGATCGACGGTTAACCACAAACGCAAACCAGCATAACATTCATTCACACCAGATCATACATTTCCTGAATCGTATAAAGGAACCGAAAAACTAAAAGTCATATTTTTTTCTAAAATGTTACATTTTATTCGAAAGTGAAATTACCAAGAAATGCCAAAACGCTGAAATTAATGTACAGTTCATATCAAAATCCACCTGATAATATGATTGTTGGAGAATGTTAAATACCTGGTGTACAGTAGGGGATACCTTGCTATGCATAATGTATGAAGCGTCAATTTTACATACAAAGTTCACGTGTAATCCTACATTGAACAGTATCAGAGATAATAAACCAATGCTTCAAGTCGGTTCTTAATCATAAGCAATACATATTTGTTAATTTTTTCGGGACTCGAACCCGCATTACTGAGTTAAGTTCTCCATGACCGATTCTGTGATCATTAACCCGTACTTGGGTGTTAGCATCATTGCTGGACCCGTTGAATGAATGCGACATATGTCCGTATCGGGTTTATCGTAGTAGCGTTTATTTGGAGGAACCCATTTTACTTGAGTTCGATTTCTCGTGGACTCAGTTGATGTATGTATTGCACTATCGAAAACAACCGTGATTTCTTCCCCGAAGATTGGTTTTCATTGAACGATTTATTGGCTCTGTGTGAAATATATATTCGTAGCGTAAATGAATTCGCTAAAAGGGCTGACATAGTGTACAATATATATTTAAATCTTGTATTCAGTGAACAGAACCATAAAAAAACAACTTTAAACGGAGCCTTGGTCATCTTAATTGACCTACTGAGAGGTTGAACCCACTAAATTTATAGGTCTATGGAGAAGAAATGAATTCCAAAAGAAAGGAACCCATTACTGAAAAACGCAAAACAATCAGCTAACGTGTAAAGTGATTGTAGATATTCAAATAGTTTAATCCGACGGTGTGATATAAGGGTGAATGTTTCAGCTTTTGTACCGGAGTCTGGCTATCTGGTTGGTTGAGGTTAGACGCATCTAATCCCCACAACACTTGATACAGAATCATCGCAATGATTCCTCCAGACTTATTCGTCTCAAATCTTCTCCCCGAGCTGAAAATGAGGTTTGCGTTGTATACCGGACAAAACCGTCACCCAATGGGCTTTTACATTCTTGATATAGTGATTGCATGACGACTATAAGAAAGGTTGCATGTTTACACGGTAGTGATCAGTCTCTTTATCGCCATTTTATTCTTGTGTGAAGCGCTACAGAACTTGGGTTCTCACCTTAGTTCACCACAGCAATCAGTCCTTTCATACGAGTCAAAATTCATTGTTTGATTCTGTAGTAATTCTTCCTTTCCTCGTTGTTAATAATAGAGCAAATAGATATTTTGTTTTCTAGTAGTTTTGGGATAAAACTTTTAGGCTTTCACGAAAATGAAATCGAACCTGAGCGAATCTTTTGCAATGTTGTAATACTTTAAGAACGCAAGGTGACTTCTGAATACTGTGTTCAACATCGCAACCTTGAAAGAGAAGTACCTCGTCTAGTTTAACTTAATTGGTTTAAATAAGGGAACCAATAATCATTCTGAATTGATTCGTAGAAGTTTAAATTTATTGTGTCATTGATAGTAGATAATCTGAATTTCATTCCGTATATGTCATTCCAATATTGTAGAATATCAAACACTGGAAGGCTGGTCTGCGCTAGATGCGCAACGTTACGGTACCTCCTGTCAGCAATATCCCACCGTTTTAAGTAGCCCAGAAAGACGCCGCTATTACACACAGCCACATATGGACGTTTCTCAAGCCAAACTCTCTAACGCCGAATCTTACAACACCAGCCCAATCACGGAGTCTCAAGAGAAACCGGCAAAGGAATTGGTCGTTGATTTGATTCCCTCACGTCAAACCTCACAGTCTGGACTTTCGGACACTGCGACGGATCTGCATACAATGGTGGATTCATCCGCTCCGTCTTGCAGCCCACGAATTTCACATAGCACGAAAGCAAAGTTACAAGCCTACGCAGGATTTCCCAAGTCCAGTTTTGTATAGAATCCCGTGTGCCATGTTCTAGTCTTCATCTATTTCGCTATCCCTCCTCGAAATAAGTGGTTGAATGTGTATTTCAAGCAAGCATTCCAGGCATCCAAAGTGAAACTGTTTTGTTTAGTACAATCCATAAGTTTTTTCTCAATGTCCAACTCCGGACAGACCCGCCTGCCAGCACTGTACGGTGATAACGGTTTCTAATCGTGAATTGTGCAAAACCTTGCTTCCATCACATTCGATGTAAATAAGTACGCTCTGCACGTACACGATTCCATTTTGTTTAACTCAACCGTTTACCTCCTTCGGCCTTCTTTCTTTCCCTCACATCACTCTGTTTCACAATCATGATTCGATTCATGAAGGATGCTGACTGACGAGCTTTCTAATCTCGTATGGTCATGCGACTGTCTCATGTTGACAAAAAATCGCTTCCTAACTGTCTTGTCACAATGCCTTTCTTAAGCGTCTGTTTTATTCTTCTTTGTTTTGTTTTTCGAGATGACTGGCTGTCAGTTTCTATAGTATCAACGAATGTCATACCAATCAGAATAATTTTTTCGCCCACAGATTTCGTTTGATGGGTAAATTTTGCAAACCATTGCATTAACCTGGCTTTTAGAAACATACAACGCAGATAATCTTGCGTAGGATGTGTATTTTAGGACGCAATAAAGATGCATATCATACTTATTGCGGTTTATGTAAAAGGCAGGTAAAATTTGTATCCTCTTTCTTCGCGATTCTTATTCGGAAAGCAGATTCTGGTCTGTGCAGTAAGTAGTTTTATCACGTGAGGAATAAAAGTATTTATCGGGTCCATAAAGAACACCAATGCGGATAAACTAAGTATATATATATATATAATTAAAGTGATTAAGCGACAGTTTCAAATACACCTGTACTTTAAAAGACAACCGCATTTGCTGTGATCGATAGGTCTGACTCCACAACTGAACCCAATTTGAATCTACTCGGATGGATCTTCCGATCACTGTTAACGTTGTCATTGGGTGCATGTATAAGGCAATGTTGTATAACCATACAAATTCCGTAGAACATTTCTACTGCTCATCATACAATAAGGGTATTGTAACATTTGGAAAAGTCATGATGTTTTCCTTGAAATTCAAAGTGAATTATAGTTGACATTAATCGAATTACGCTGGTAGAGGAAGAGACCTAAATCTTCACACTGGACAAAATTTATTATCCTCAAAGAAGGAGCGGGGTGAATTGGAGGATTAAGCACATTATGCTTGGATTATCTACGTGCTGAATAATTGAACACAATCCCCAGATGACTGTCATCGAATAGATTTAGGATTCAGATGACAACAGCAAATCCGTCACACAATCAAGCAGACAAAAATATGCATTCACGCACAAATTTACGTACACGTACACACATGAGCAAACGGCGACCACATCGTGAAACTGGTTTCTATCGCATCAATCATGAGAGAATGAAAACTGTCCCTCGAAATATAAATGAAGAATTTATGATAATGTTATTAATCTTAAGCTCCATCGACCGTGCACTAACAGAAATCCCACGCAGGTCAATTCAGGGAAGATTTCAGTTACATTCATGGCAACTATGCAATGCTCACCAAGCAAGAATAACAGAATTTCAACATGAAATAAGCCACAAGTAATTGGTTATATATTCAATTAAAACTGAAAACAGAAAGAGGTGTCAGAATTCTTGGAGTAAATTCGAATTCCGTTCCAGCTGGATTAAACGTAAATTAGTAGGTTTTGCAGGAGTACAGGTTGTCTAAAGGAATATCTCGCGATCAGTGTCGCGAAATCGATTCCAAGTTTGATAAAGCACTCCTGAGTGGAAAATCGATTTGCCCTCCAGTTTAGCTATTGAATATGGGACACCAATATAGCTGACGTTATAAAGTTTCTTTTCTGTTTGCATAAAAGCCTGCGCATAAGCAGCCATGATCTTGAATGGAACGGGATCGCAGCTGTGTCAAAGCAACCCCAGAAAACTGAGTTTCTCGTTTACACTTCTCGAAATGTGACCAAGTTTTGTCACGTAATTTTTATCAAAACCGCATATTTTAAGGTTCTTGAAAATCATTCTCATCGCATGTATATGAGTTTTGGTGATTCAAGATTGTTCCGTGCCACGTTCCTGTTTCAGAAAAATATAAGATTGGTATCCTCCGTCTGGTTTACCAAATGTAGTTTGCCTCGGGGTTGGAAAGTCTGGTGAATATCCTATGCTCCCCGTTTTACCAAGCAAATACCGAACGGTTCTCAAGCAGGAGCAACAGTGCGAACAGCTACGGGAAGCCACAGATGACAGCTGAGAGCACTGTGCCTAATGTCGATTGTGAACCGTTCAGTTGGAAATGAATGTGTCCTTAGGACAGTATCTTTCATAGAACAAAAAACAGACAATGTTTTACANACAGACAATGTTTTACAGATTGGTGAATATAGCATCACAGAAATTAGTTTTTTTATATAAAAACTCCGAAGCAGTAAAGATTCTGAGAGTTTGACCTTGAGAAGTGATGACGAATTCCTCATTATTATTTCCTAATCGTCAGAGAAATTTCTCGAGCAAGTTTGTGTGATTTAAACTTAGTAGTAGCTAATTGGAAATCAGCATGAATAAAATCTTGACGGATGTCTGAGCACATTATTTCAATATGGCTTATGTGTCTTTCCATTATGCGTAAAACACGTTCATGTCAACTCTGTTTCACTGAAAATCAATTGTACCTTGAAATGCATTGTTTTTCTGGCTATTTATCATAGCAAACTCTGTGAGATCAACATGGTAACAAAACTTTCAAACGAAAAACAATTTTCAATAGTTTTATAGTCATGGGGTCAGTTACGATCCGTAAATGAGAATATTGAATCTGGGTGACTGGGAGGTCAACACACGATCATGTGGAACAACTCAATGTGCTGGCCTGCGTGCACAGTACGTTTTACCTTGATGGAGTTGATGGAGTTTACGTCACTTCGGTCATGTGACTCAGTTCCGAGAGATTGGCTACGTGAATGGGTGTGTGCGCACAAATGGCGAGGGTTGCTGTTGTTTTTGTCAGGAAACCCAGTGCGGAGTTTGAATAAAAACTCCCCGGGGGCCCATGGTTAGTTAAATATTTACTCACAAGTAACTAAGTTGAAGCTGGATTACATAAAATACATAGCTTCGAAAACAGTCAATGTGTGAAATCTAATATTTTCGAATCGGCTCGGGGTAGCTTGATGAATGATATTAAATGATCCACCTGGATTCATACAGTTCCCAGTGTCTATCAAGTGAGTGATGACTGCGCTTGTGATGGACTTGGGACCACATTGATTCACTCAAACATTCAACGGGAGGTCCATCATAATTAGGTTTGCTTTTAGTCTATAAATTCCAGTTTCAGCTTCAGTTTTTACAACCATTAACCATTAACACCGTTGGTAATTATTGAAAACAATTATCCGGTGGGAAATGCTACAAATAAGTGAGTATTGCAGGGGGAATCCCTTTGTCGTAGATTAAAGATCAATTTTATTTTGTGGTTTAAGGGAATTGTGTTGATTCTCTCATTCTGATCATAGGATTGCTAGCACAGGTTACACACGTATTGGAATAAAAAGAATAACTATATCGTCGATCCATTTGCGTGATTCACAAGAATCCCTATCCACACTGGGCAGGATTTTCAACTTTGATTCCATCCTAGGTTTGAATCAATAAACGTGCCGTTTTCATTACGATAGAGTTCACATCTATTATGACTTCTACAACTAACCTGACAATACGAATGAGAACCAACGCAAACCATTTTCTGTTTAGGTATCATAGGTGTACTAGGCCTTGATATACACAAAACAAAAGACCAATGATTATGAGTACTTTGAACTGAAATAAACGATTTCTCCCCACTCCCCCGCGGAAATAAAAGTAGTTGCCTGACATCGCTTTCGTTATTCCCCCCGAGGGAGCCATTATTGTTTCAGCGTGGACTCAGAAAGCTACAACTTAGCACTGACCACTGAACTGTAATGGACGAGAATCGGTCAACGGGAAAAAAGGAGACAGATTTTTCTAGTTGGTCCAACATATGGAAATAAGCTTACCAAAAGTGCAGTGATAGTAACGCAGATACAACTCCGTTGCAGTGTCTAAGTTTATGCTGCTTTTAACATATAAACACAATCTATGAACTGAGGCTCACACTCCGGTTAGGTCAAAACCTTGAGTAGGTTAAAGTAAATCTTGGGTTTAGATAAAAGTTTCTTTCTAAAAGCAAAAGAGAAAGTCATACAAAATAGATTAAAATTTATTTTTTTCACCTATCGCCTATTTGTTTCACCCGTAATGCTAAATTTTGCTAAATTATAGTTCTTGTGCCTTTGTGACTTTATCATACTTCATGGTGGGGTTTAGAAAATCACGAGTGAAAGAGGTTCTTTGTAAATGTGCTTGGTTTTATCAAATACCTTGATGATTGTTGAAAGAGTATATCACGAACAACTGGTTTATTGATCGTAACACCATTCACAAAGAAAGGATTCAAGGCATTCCGAGCATAATGAACATTTGTTAGTCACACATACAGTTGTTAATGTCAATTTACATCAAATGGTACTTGCAGTTATTATATTTGTGTAGCGGTTTCTGTAAACTAATGTGTTAAGCATCGCAATTGAAGGTGCCTACATGTTTGCTTTTAATAATAAATTAATAACTAAAGGTATAACGTATACCTCTGAGCCCGATCGCAATGCTTATAGATGCGGAATATGTACACCCTACTGACCTCACTCACGCATCTTTCACCGAATCAGGTCTTGTACGCAAGTTTAGATACGTAAGTGCGTTTGGCGCTGCCCGGATTTATGTTGACGTAAATTATGTTTGACCCTTTAGGCCTATTCCACTACGTATTAGCTATTTATCATCACAAACATTGATCAACTAGGCTATTTTAGTTTCAATCATCCAGAGATTTGGCCAGAAAAATGTTTTTGTA